TACATAGTCAACTGTTTTATGGCTGTGGCCATTAGGACAAAGGTATCCAAGCATTCATTTTCAGCACATAATTCTGAACTTATGGAGCACCCAAGGTGGCTGACGTCGGATGGGAGAAATCTTCTAAATATTCACACATACTTATTTAAAATTATAGCCCTTCTCACGATGTCTCAAAAACATTTACACAAACATATCCATTTGAATCCATTTTGGGGGGAAATGTAGTCTGTGATGCTATATTTAGCCCACAAAAGCAAATACAAGATTATGTGAAATATCCATTCAGGAAATGATGCCATTATGAAGTTATATTTCTGTATGCCCCATTTTAGCACAGTTCGAGCTTGTGATAAACAATTAAAAAACAAAACAAGAAACGAATTAAATTAGTAAAAGTAGGGGGAAATCCCATTACGTACATTTCTGTGATGGTTTCTGGCAGATTAGTCGGGATCTCCGAAAGGCCCTTCCCTCGGCAGTCCACAATGTTGTTACTACAGGTACATGCAGAAGGACAGTGCAAGACGCTGCAGGAGGGAGCCATAAAAGACTGATGACCTGGAAACAGTAACAGATTGCTACTTCTAAAACTGCAAGAATGCTATTAATGAAACACCTAATTTACCCTCACTACACAAGACAGCGAAAAGCAACGCTTTTTCTAACCCTCCCCCCAATCTGCTCCAGAATACAGATTCCAAAACTGCCTTAAAACGAAACATGCAGAAGTAGATGCTTGGAAAACGCTTTCACATATTGTATGGCGGAATCCTGGATTCAAGTACCCACATTTCCATTGCCCAGTGCCTAGAAAGCAGAGGTGCCAACTTGAAGGAAATATTGGGGGGTCCCAGGTAAGCCCCTCCCTGCACAATCAATCACAAGCACATGCACCATTTGAATGGCAATGCCCATCAACTTGGGTGGGTGGGATGGACGGACGGACCATTAAATATTTTATTTGAGGGGCCAAATGGACCTCAGCTGCTAGGACTGAGCTTCTATGTTAGAAATGATGGGTCCAAGCAGCTTTCCACTTGCCCTGCTCCTTTCCCAGGGGAAACCTGCTCTTCAGCTCTAATTCGCAATCCACAGAAAACCCAATTGCCATTTGCTCCGACTGAGCACTAAAGAGCAGTTTTCCCAGGAAGGAAAAGCAGCAGGACGAGAGGAAATGTGGGTAAGCCCAGAGATTCCACCATATCAACGTCTTTCATAGCTTTCATAGGGAACCTTCTTGAGCCTTTTATGCTGACCAAATAATTTATAATTGCCAATGTGCAGTCTTTAATTTACCTACATTGATTAACACATATGTATATATTTGGCAGTCAGTTCATTCTTCAGTGGCGCAAACAAGCAAAAATAAGTTAATAAATTGCTCCCTTAATTTAAAGCATTTATGGAGCACCCAAGGTTGCTGAAGTCAACGGCAGGGGTGACTTCTGTGGGCTTTAGTTTTTTGTTTTCTGCATTTGGAGTTATTGGGCAAAAAAGCTTTTGACATCACAGAATCACAGCAGTGGACTGAGCCAGCAATAAATGAAGTATTTTTTTAAAAAATGTAAAGACATACAGTATCACAGCAAATGATGCCAGCAGTTAGTAAAATAAAATAAAAAAAATAGAGGGCACAGTAAAGCTTTTAGCACAATTGTATCACAGTGGGAAACCCACATGAACAGTATTTTTAAATACATTTTTAAAAAATGGGTGGAAATCTCTTGGGGACCAATACACAGGTGAGCCACTCCTGCTTCGCAGAACGAAGACAACCACCTGTTGCAACTTTCAAGAATACTGAATTATCTCATTTTTTAAATACTACTTGAGAAAATTTCTTCACTGCTGAAAACCCCTCTTTTCAGCGAGCCTTTTGGTGAGTAAAAGAGAAAATGGGCAGGTACAACTGTTGTATACACATTTAGAGGAAACGTGATGAAGCAATGCTGACTAATGATTTAATCTGCCATTAAAAGATTGGTTTTATTTAAATGAACTTGCCTTCTTCCTCATCTAGGGGGTATGAACAGAGGAAAAATAGAGACAAATGTTAGTGGTATAGCATTAGTTATTTTGATATGTCATTACAAGCAATCGAAAAAGCCACAGACATGGTAAAATGTACAGAACGAATTCCGTCTTCCAAACCCTTGGGTTTTCAATTCATAAGAGGTTTTAAGGCTGTAAAAATGGCAAGAGCATAAACGAGTACACTTCGAATATGATACTTATTGTATGTTAAAAAAAACTCTCTGGATTTAATAACCTGGGCCCAAACTTTTCACCCACCCTCATAACTATGATACTAGATGTGTAACCTGAGACACTCTAGGTTGAATTTAATCATAGCAAAGGGGCAGTTCTTGTGTGAGTGACTCCCATAGGGCTCGGAAGAAGCTGGCTTCAACCCATCCCACACCTATGCACATGCAGGGTGCAGCTGCTTGACAGGGGAAATATTTAACCTTTTTCTACCTCCAATACCTTGAGGGATGCGAGTGGCGCTGTGGTCTAAACCACTGAGCCTTCGGCTTGCCAATCAAAAAGTCAGCAATTCAAATCCCCGTGACAGGGTGAGCTCCCGTTGCTCGGTCCCAGCTCCTGCCAACCTAGAAGTTTGAAAGCACGCCCAAAAGTGCAAGTAGATTAATAGGTACTGCTCCAGTGGGAAGGTCAACGGTGATTCCGTGCGCTGCTCTGATGTCGGTGTTCCGTTGTGCCAGAAGCGGCTTAGTCATGCTGGCCACACGACCCAGAAAAACTGTCTGTGGAGCGGACAAATGACGTCTCCCTCGGTCTGTAAAGCGAGGTAAGCGCCGCAACCCCAGAGTCATTCATGACTGGACTTAACTGTCAGGGGTCCCTTTACCTTTTACCTCCAGTAAAGGAAAACAAAGGTAAGGGACCCCTGGACAGTTAAGTCTAGTCAAAGCTGACTATGGGGTTGTGGCGCTCATCTTGCTTTCAGGCCAAGGGAGCCGGCGTTTGTCCACAGACAGCTTTCCAGGTCATGTGGCCAGCATGACTAAACCGCTTCTGGTGCAATGGAACACCATGACAGAAACCAGAGCGCACAGAAACACTGTTTACCTTCCTGCCACAGTGGTACCTATTTATCTACTTGCACTGGCGTTATTTTGAACTGCTAGGTTGGCAGAAGCTGGGACAGAGCAACAGGAGCTCAGCCTGTTGTGTGGATTCGAACCGCCGGCCTTCCAATCAGCAAGTCCAAGAGGCTCAGTGGTTTAGACCACAGTGCCACCCGCGTCCCCCTACCTCCAGTATCCCCAGCTAGCCCTCTCTCTTTTCCAGTACAAGGTGCTCATGGTTCTGGAGAGTGTGAAATCTGCTTCAGGCATATGGGGATGACTAGATGAGGATACAGTTGAAGAGGAAGAAGAGAAGAGTTTGGATTTGATATCCCGCTTTATCACTACCCGAAGGAGTCTCCAAGTGGCTAACATTCTCCTTTTCCTTCCTCCTCCACAACAAACACTCTGTGAGGTGAGTGGGGCTGAGAGACTTCAAAGAAGCGTGACTGGCCCAAGGTCACCCAGCAGCTGCATGTGGAGGAGCGGAGACGCAAACTCGGTTCACCAGATTATGAGTCTAGCCTCCCAGGCTCCCAACTTTGAGCTGAGCTGCCTGCATCTATATAGCCAAGGGAAGGGGTTGAGACATATGCAGCCTGACTTTAAGTAGATTGAACGCACTACGTTTTGTGCACAGTTAGTGAAGCTTGTGTTACCCATGCCTTCTTTCAGGCTGTTTTGTCATGCATTACACATCAAGGTACTGCTGTAATAATATTGAGAGTCTTACCGCTGCAGACGAATTCCCGTTTTTGAACCTCAGCTACATTGTGACCCCTTAAATGTGAGGGGCCCATGCACTGAGTGTATAGTCCAACCCGAGGTCGCTGGCGTAGCCAATCGGAGAGCCAAGCTAGATGGCAATCACAGTAAAGGTTGTTGGAGTGTAGTCGGCTGGATAAAACACAGCAAAATAAAACCAAAAAGTACATAAAGGCAATATAGTCTAGTAAGTACAAAGCAAACGATGAAACATGATTAAAGCCTGCAGTTGCAACGTTACGCACTTAGTCTAGAAGACCCCACAAGTTTCCAGAGAGGTTATAATGTGTTAACTGCTTGCTGAGCATTCAATTATGATTGGTTTATATGAGGTTATTAGGGGCTGCTGCCCCTGCTTGAGTTGCTCAGTAACCACACCTGCTACCAAGCTCCCACTCCTCCACAGCTCCTTCAAACCCCCACCCCCACCTACTGTATTTTTTGCTCTATAAGACGCACGTTTCCCCTCCTAAAAAGTAAGGGGAAATGTGTGTGCGTCGTATGGAGCGAATGCAGGCTGCGCAGCTATCCCAGAAGCCAGAACAGCAAGAGGGATCGCTGCGCTCCCTCTCGCTGTTCTAGCTTCTGGCTTAGCCGCACTCTGTCCCTTCCCCCACCTCCAGCAAAAGCCAGCAAGAGCCGCGCTCCCTTTAAAGAGCCGCGCGGAGTGTGTGTGCAGCTCTTGGGGGCTTTTCCCCGAGGAGGGAGAAGGGCAACCCATCAGTGACGGGCTGCCCTTCTTCCTCCTCGGGGAAAAGCCTGCAAGCATCGCACACACGCTCCACGCAGCTCGTGAAAGGGAGCGCTGAGCAGAGCCTGGGATGCATACAGGCTCTGCTCTGTGGTCCCTTTAAAGAACATTTTTTTTCTTTCATTCCCCTTCTAAAAACTAGGTGCGTCTTACGGTTGGGTGCGTCTTATAGGGTGAAAAATATAGTATGCACCATTCCTACTTTGCCGCCAATCCTCATCCCCCAGAGTTTGCCCCAAACTGCCCCTTTCCCCACAGTTTGCTAAAAACTCTTCCTGCCCCATCTTCTCATGATTATGACATCATTGATCTATTGTCCCCACTACAACTAATAAGACCACTGCTATTGAGCTGACATTCAACACTCTTTCCTCGCTGCCTTGATTGTGGCTACATACGTAGCTCAGTTGATAGAGCATGGGACTCTTAACCTCAGGGTTGCTGAGTTCAAGTCCCATGTTGGGCAAAGGATTCCTGCAGGGAGTTGGACTAGATGACCCTCGTGGTCCATTCCAACGTGACAATGATAGGTCTGCTATCACTTTTGAGGCCCCGCTCTTTACCACTATAGGGAAATGAAAGATGGGAACTCTGTACTGGGTTCTCACTGCCTCTCTTGACAGATGTCAACCTTTCTGTGCCTGCAAAATCTGACTGAGACACAGTAGGCCTTTAAGAATGCTGCAGCCTTTAGGTCTGTGAAAGATTGGAAGGAGGCACTGAGAAACTTTTACCTATGGATCCTAGGAATATGTGGGTAGCTTGTGGGTAGGAGAAATGACATCCAAGGTTTTTATACTGAGAAATGGAGAAACCATGGACCAAGAATAATGTGATGTATATATGTGGGGTGTTCCTAATATTACCAGACCACCAACAAATATTCCTACTACCTACTCTAGCAGATCTCTTTCCCTGTAGCTCAGAGCAATCCTTCTATACTGATCTCAAACCTTGGTCTTTCCTGTACTGTAAGACTACCTATTGATTAGGGAACTGATGTTCCATGCTAAAACCTGAGTTTTAAGAACAATCTCTAATGAACATTTTGAGGTATTATTAGCCACCAGCGTTACTCCTTGCAGAAATCCTTTCGTTAGCACATTTTCTGCTGAATCGTCTCTTCCATCTCTTTTGGTTTAATTACAGTAGAGGAGATTAGGTGCATTGACACCTAGAGACCCATGCTCAAAACAATGCTTAATATTAAGATACCAAACCCGTAAGTGTTTTCATCTTGGCATGTTGGCTCTATTTGGGGAAATAAAGTATTGGATTGTGAAGTTGATCATAGCAGCAGTGCAGTTAATTAAAGGCTGGAGGGAGTAAAAGGAGCCAGGGAAGGATTTGAGCTTTTCAGCTGTTGGTGGAAAGATGTTGCATTTATAGCAGGGGGTTAAGGTTGATAGTTTGACTAAACTGCAGGAGGCAGTGGAAGACAGGAGCGCCTGGCGTGCTCTGGTCCATGGGGTCACGAAGAGTTGGACACGACTAAACCACTAAACAACAACAACAAGGTTGATAGCATAGGTTAAGGTTGTCCAGTAAAAAAAGAGGACAGGGTCCTGAACTGTTAAGAGTTGTTTATTTATTCCTAAGGTTGGTGACTGGGTGTGGCAGCCAGGACCATATAACATCGGTCTTAAAGGATCTACATTGGCTCCCAGTATGTTTCTGAGCACAATTGAAAGTGTTGGTGCTGGCCTTTAAGGACCTAAACAGCTTTGGGCCTGCATCTCCACCCCCATCATTCAACCTGGATGCTGAGATCCAGCTTCATCTGACAGTTCTTCTCATATGTTACAACTGAATGTGGCATTGTATTTTTTAATAGTGGTGTTTTGCCCCTGTCTTATTTTTTTACTTTCATATTTATTTTTATTTGCTATACCCATCATTTTTATTGTATTACGGAGGAGGAGGAGGGAGGTTACAGGAAACCAGGCAGAGCGCCTTGCGGTCAAGCCCACCCTGTGGAGCACCCTCCCATCAGATGTCAAGTAAATAAACAACCATCTGACTTTGAAAAGACACCTGAAGGCAGCCCTATTTAGGTAAGTTTTTACTGTTTGATGTCTCACTGTGTTTTAAATTGTTGGAAACCATCCAGAGTAGCTGGGGTAACCCAGCCAGATGGGCAGCATATAAATAATAATAACAATATGTTTCCGGCTACATCATGACTTCAATGGTGGTAGCTCCTTGCTACCCTCCATGGGCAGTGAGGAGGTTCAGGCAGGGGAAAGCCAGGCTTTATGAGGCAAAAATACTGGAAATGTTCCCCAGTGGGGTCTGGGGAGCTCACTGCATCCCTCAGTGCCACTCAAGCCCGTGTCTGCCAACTTGAAAGGCAGAGTGGGTGCAACTGGGAGTGTGTCCCTGCCATGGATGAGCCTCTGTTTCCGGCATGATTTGTGATTGGTTCCTCCATAATTCGGACAATTGGCACAAATCAAGAGGTGTTTCTGGACCAACATATGTTAATGGGCTGCAATCAGTCAGCTGCCGAAAGGACTGGGCTTGGCTCTTTGAAGGTATCTGAATATTTTCTTCGAAGCTTGACAATCCTTACAACAGCCAGGAAAGGGAAGACAAGGTGCTTTGCGCAGTCTTATGCTTTTCAAATGGTCCTTTTTTCTGCATAATGAAAAGGACGTGTGTAGCCACTGCTATGTTATTCTGTTTGTTACTTCGGAAAAGAGGGGGGAGGCTTTTGATTTATGCTCAACAAAGAATTTAACAAGGTTTTATTATGCCTTCCCTGCTCATCCAAGGCTGCATGGACTTCATTTAAAATTATTCCTGGACTGGACTAGGAGTGCTGTTGGAAGAAGGCAGTGAAAGAAGAATGAACTGCTGCTGAACAGATCTGGCAAAGAGGCTGAATTTGAAAAAAGATTTTGTTTTTAGCTGTGTGCCGAGGAAGAACTCCAGAACAGAATTTTAATGGGGGAGTTTGGATATGCATTCCGTGAGTTATTTATGGTGTTAGCTTGCATGCTAGTTGGTAAACAGCAGAAGGAATGGAATGTGACCTTGTACCATTCAGATAAACACTGCAAAGAGCTGAACAGTGGAAGATAGTAATTAAACTCTCCCAGTACACCAGGTCTGGAACAACAATATATATGAAGGACTACACACATAAAATTGATTACTTATTTATAAGATGAAATGGAGGTGCTGTTTGTAAGGTGAAAAAAGCAGTCAGCTGGAAGAATGGTTTAATGGCAAGTGAAGGATGTCAACTGGACTCTAAATAAGAAATAACGCGGCAAATGAGGATGATCATACGTTTGGAACAGGAGCGGGAAACCTGATTTTAAGAAATTGTATTAAGTTGATTTCATTTGGTTTGATTTGTAATAATTTGTAAAATTAATAAAAATAATTCAAAAATAAATAATTAGTATTATGCTAGGCTGAAACAGATCCTTCAGTTGGTGCATGTGTATGAGAGAGAATTGGCATAAAGAAAATGGATCGGGGTTGAACTCCTCCTTTCTCGGTGCTACATGCCTTCATATGGCCATTTTTAAAACTACAGGAGACCCATTTGAAAATCTCCCCTAGTTTTAGAACCCCCCCCCATTGATCAGTAGGCTTGTCAGGTTGCAGGATCTCAGCTGAAGTTGTGGCGTTTTAGCCCTTTCTCAGATAGAGGAAACAGAGCCAAGTGTACAGGTTACATTGCTTGAGAGCTTTTGCTGTTTGCTCCATCGTGCGGCTACCTTTGAAGGTGACCCGGAAACTGCAATTAATCCAGAATGCGGCAGCTAGACTGGTGACTGGGAGTGGCCAACGGGACCACATAATACCGGTTCTGAGAGATCTGCATTGGCTCCCAGTACGTTTCCGAGCACGATTCAAAGTGTTGGTGCTGACTAAATGGCCTCAGTCCTGTATACCTGAAGGAGCGTCTCCACCCCCATCGTTCAGCCCAGACACTGAGATCCAGCACTGAGGGCCTTCTGGCGGTTCCCTCATTGTGAGAAGTGAGGCTACAGGGAACCAGACAGAGGGCCTTCTCGGTAGTGACGCCCGCCCTGTGGAACGCCCTCCCATCAGATGTCAAAGAGATAAGCAACTCCCTGACATTCAGAAGACATCTAAAGGCAGCCCTGTTCAGGGATGTTTTTAATATTTAACGCTGTATTGTTTTTAACACTTGATTGGGAGCCGCCCAGAGTGGCTGGAGAAACTCAGCCAGATGGGCGGGGTATAAATAATAAATTATTATTATTATTATTATTATTATTATTATTATTATCCATCTCTATTGGATTCCATACTGAGCCACCTAGCAAAGCCATACTCAACGGAATTAATAACCCCATTAGGTAGGCATGGCTGGCTGTTTAAGGAATGGGGAAAGGGCTGCTGCAGCCGCAACTACTACAACTCTGAGGAGGCAAAAGCTTCTCAAATTCTGGGCCACGCTTTGTGCAGCTTGTTTTTTTCCATATAGGGAAGAGAAGGTTTCATCAAATGCTTGAACTGTGGTGCCATGAGGAGGATAAACATCTGGGACTCAGTCCTGATTTAAATGCATATGAGAATAAGCTTCATGCAGTTTTACTTATCTACTGTTGATAACATATCAAACACTGGTGTTCTTTTTAAAAAAAATCAGCACTAACTAGAATTTGTTCAATTATTTTTCTTAATAGCCTTATGCATATTTTACATGTAAGACCCATCATTAAATATTGGGTTCTTGAAGCAACTGCTGCCACAACCTTAATTATTGCACTATTGGAACATGTATTATTTATATTTTTTTAAAAAAAAAATATGGGAGAGCCATTTTAATTGAATTAGGCCTGCTAGCATTACAGCAATAAAACCTTAAAGATTTCACATTTATCATATCTGACAGCCAATCACAGATTCTACTGCGATCTTAAGTGAAACTTGACCAGTTCCTCAAAATACCTCTCAGGTTTTGTTCCACAGAAGCTATTTTTAAATACGTTTTGACTATTTAAAATTTCAATCTATCACACCTTCAAATGTTTTCTTCACACTGACGTGCAAGTCACAAGGAAACAAAAGTTGTGCTCTCTGAAAATTCTACTGGTCTAAGAGTCTTAAATAGTTATAACTTAGCCAATAATCAGCCTGCTCAAGACACAAGACAGATACAACACATATGGGTCCAAAAAATTAAAAGCAAGTTTTGTGGCACGGTCATGCCCTGCATTTCTGATCTTTTACGGGGTGTGATCTGCCACCCACCTTCTCAACTTTCAAATATTATCAAGCCTTTCTTGAAAGCACATTTTGCTGCAATTGCCCTGTTATTTACAAACTGCACCAGTCTGTACACAACCCAACACTTATACTACGGCAAAGGCGGAAAGGCTTGCTTGCGCAAAGGGAAGTGAGTCACACCTTCGGGGTAGTACTAAATGGTCAAACCTCTAAAATATAGTTCCTAACACTGGTTATTGTGAAAAACTAACA